CAGTGATGGTGAACCTATGACACGCGTGTCAGAGGTGACATGCGAACTCATTTTTTTGGTTGATTTTTCTTTGTTAAATGGCATTTAAATATATAAAATAAATATCAAAAATATAAGTCTTTGTTTTACTATGGTTGCAAATATTAAAAAATTTCTATATGTGACACGGCACCAGAGTTAAGTTAGGGTTTTTCAAAATGCTGGCACGCCGAGCTCAAAAGGTTCGCCATCACTGCCCTAGAGTCATAGGTCAGGGTCCTCGGTCCTGGAGGTGGGACAAGGCCGCAGGGCCAGGGGACTCCTCCAGGGCAGCTCTATGGCCCTTTGCTGCCCTCTGCTGACCAGCTTTGTCACTACAGCCCCAGCCCTTCCTGTACCTTGTCTTCCTCCACCTCCAGACCCTCTCAGCCCAGGCCAGGAGGTGCCAGGAGCAAGCATGGGGTCGAATTGCTGAGATATGAGGGGGCTGGGAGCCTTGCCAACCCCTGTGCCCAGCTTTATCCCAACCAGAAGCTCCGGGTGGCCACTCTCCGGTGGCCCCGGTGGCTAGGCGGCCACCCGAGGTCTCAGGACAGCATGGGCTGACCTGGCATGTGTCTCCTGAGGGGTCTACTGGAGAGTGGCCTTGCGTGTGGGTTGGGGGGATGAATCTGTGCACCTACACACGCAATATGTGTGTACACGTGTGTGTCACGCCTACAGAGAAAAGAGAGAGATACACCCAAATTTCAGCTCTGGCTTCCTGCGCTGGGTGCTGGGGTTTCAGATGACACTGCTCTGCCCACTGCCCTTCCTTGTATTTCTCCCTGTATTGTCCACAAACTGCACGTACTGGCTTCGTAATCAAAAAGGAAAAGAGCCCTGGCTGGTTGCTCAGTGGTTAGAGCGTTGGCCCACGGACCAAAGGGTCACGGGTTCGATTCCCAGTCAAAGGCATGTACCTCGGTTGCAGGTTCAATCCTCAGCCCTGGTCTAATGTGAGCGAAAGGTAACCAATCCATGTGTCTCTCTCATGTTTCTCTCTCTCCCCCCCCCCCTTCCACTCTCTCTAAAAATCAATGGAAAAAAATATCCTCACTCCTCAGGGGAGGATTAAAAAAAATAAAAGGAAAGGAGCTTTTTAAAAACATCAGGTGGTGTCCAAAGCATGCCAAGGCCTCTGAGAGGCTGAGCCTGAGGCCTGGGTGGTCCAGAGCAAGGGTCCTGGAAACTGGGAGGGGGCTGAGGAGGAAGCAGAGGTGACAACAGGGCTCGGGGACCCCTCAGGGCTCTGCTTTAGAACCTAGTGCTTGCATGTATGTTTCCCCATAACCCCCATAACCCCCCCATAGCCTCCCCACAGCCTCCCCATTGCCTCTGGGCAGCCCCAGGGTCCCTCCTGCTGACATCCTCATGGCCTGGAGGTGGGGCTATCCCATTGTGCCCCATGCGTGCCCCGCTCTGCTCTCCAGCACCCACCTCAGTCTCTCCAGACTCTCCCCTAGTCCCTGGGGAACTCGCTGGGGTTCACCTGGAGTGGGCACCCTGACTCTCCAGGCTCAGCCCCCAGAGAGGGCATGGGATCCCCAACACCCTGCTTCCCCTTCAGCCCCACCAGCTCTCCCCTCCCCCCGACTCATTTAAACATTAATCAGAGGGGGAGGCCCCTCGGCGCTGCTGCCTGTGATGACAGGTCTGTCTCAGCCTGAAGTCCTTCCTTAGCCACCCGAGTGGCAGCCGCTCAAGGGCCTGCAGGCCCATGTGGCTGTGCAGGAATGGCCATGGGACCGGGTCGTTTGTGCCTTGGTGCGTGGTGGCCTCTCCAGGAAGGTGGCAAAATGCACAGGAGCCCTAGGCAGTTTGGCTCGGTGGATAGAGCGTCAGCCCATGGACTGAAGGGTCCTGGGTTCGATTCCGGTCAAGGGCATGTACCTCGGTTGCAGGCTCCATCCCTGGCCCTTGTTGGGGCCTGGGCAACCAATCAATGTGTCTCTCTCACATTGATGTTTCTCTCTCTCTCTCTCTCTCTCTCTCTCTCTCTCTCTCTCCCCCTCCCTCCCACTCTAAAAACCAGTGGAAAAATATCCTCAGATGAGGATTAACAACAACAACAACAAAAGTGACCAAAGGACTTCAGCTGTGTGCTCTGCAGGGCCAGGGAGGCCAAGGTCAGCATTGCTCAGCACCTGGAGGTACAGCGAGTCCCAGCATCAAAGCCCGGCCGCCAGGTGAGGAGGGAAAATCGATGTCGGGCTGAGGGATGAATGCAGAGGAGCCGGGGTGGGGACAGGACGATGTTGGGGGGTGGGGGTGCCAGGCTGACCGGGCTCCACACCCCCCGAGCACCTTCCACCTACGTCAGAATGTGCTGCAGGGCGGCCAGGCGAGCAGCTCCATCCATCTGGCCCTGGACGTCCCCAGTGGGGTGGCTGGGCTGCTTGCCCGACTTCGGCAGAACTGCTGACTCTGCACTGGGCGGTTCCCACAGAGGAGCCAAAGGCCTTGAACAGCCAGCCAGAGACTCCCGGGGACCCAGTGCCAGCTGGGCCCCTGACTCCATCGCTGGTAAGCCCCAAGAGCCTGGGCTGAAGGGCATCTATGGGGGGCTGCCTGGGGGCCCACCTCTCTAGCTGGCCCAGATTATTACATATTACAGAGTGAGCCATAGGGTTATTTTATTATTTATACAAAACATGATGGAGAAAAAGAGCAATCGATGCAAAAATATCACTATAAAAACACGAGCTATTTGCCCTAACCCGTTTGGCTCAGTGGATAGAGCGTCGGCCTGCGGACTGAAGGGTCCCAGGTTCGATTCCGGTCAAGGGCATGTACCTTGGTTGCGGGCATATCCCCAGTAGGGGGTGTGCAGGAGGCGGCTGATCAATGTTTCTCATCGATGTTTCTAACTCTCTATCCCTCTCCCTTCCTCTCTGTAAAAAATCAATAAAATATTTTTTTTTAAAAAAAGAATAACCAAACTCAGTTGTTTAAAAAACAAACAAAAAACACGAGCTATTCAACCCCCTGACCCCTTCCATAGCCTTTCAGGGCAGGCAGCTTCCCTCGGTGCTGCCTTCCTGTGTGCCGGGGATACGCGTCCCTGTGGCTAACACCTCAGTAGACACTCAGCCTCTCGATGTGTGGGTGCCCCATGGTGCTCCCAGTCCATCGACCCCTGTGGCGACATTAAAGATGTCCCGAACCTTCCCATCAGGAAGAGACCTCAGCAGGAGACCATGACATGGAATGACCAAACCTGACCTGACCGGTGTGGCTCAGAGGTTGAGTGTCAACAAATGAACCAAGAGGTCACGGATTCGACTCCCTGTCAGGGCACATGCCCAGGTTGTGGGCTCAATCCCCAGTAGGGGGCGTGTAGGAAGCAGCCGATTGATGTTTCTATCTCTCTATCCCTCTCCCTTCCCCTCTCTCTCAAAATCAATAAAGAACATGTTTGCTTTTTTTTTTAAAGAATATTTTAGGGACATATATAATACTTTCAACAATAAGGTTTTTGTGGGGTTTTTTTAAAAGAACGTTTAAAAGGGAGAGAGAGAGAGAGAGAGAGAGAGAGACCCAGCCTACCAGGCCTGCCCTGCCCAGTCACCAAGCAACCCCCAGGAGACCAGGACTGAAATGCCTGCCAGGAAGCCCTAGGAGATGGCCTTGCAGGAAGCCTAAAGCCCTGCCCCTCCCCGGAGCTGCTGGGGCCGCAGGAGGGACTGGTTGTACGAGCCTCCTGGGATCCTTTAGGGCAGCGGTTCTCAACCTGTGGGTCGCGACCCCTTTGGCAGTCGAACGCCCCTTTCACAGGGGTCGCCTAAGACCACCCTGCATATCAGATATTTACATGACGATTCATAACAGTAGCAACATCACAGTTATGAAGTAGCAACGAAAATAATTTTATGGTTGGGTCACAACATGAGGAACTGTATTTAAAGGGCCAGAAGGTTGAGAACCACTGCTTTAGGGTTTAGGAGATGCATGCCTGTGGGGGAAGGAGAGGGGAAAGGAAGTGGGGGGGCGGGGGCTGCTCCCTAGAGGAAGAGCAGGAGCTGGGCCCCTTGTCCTGTGGCTTTATCTCCTTCTCACAGGCAGGAATCTTAGGGGCGGTCTCGGGGGAGGGTTTCAGTAGAATATTCATCAGTTTTCTAGCTGGGCTCCTCCAGGGCTGCCATCTCCACTGATGGGTCAGTGTCAGGGCAGAGAATCATGAGTGATTACAGCTGGTCTTGGTGCGGCCCACCTGGTTTTGCTGCTTTTCGGGGCCTGGAGCTGAAATACAACTGAGGCCTTGATGTCATTTCTAGGGAGGTGAACTTCTGCACCTGCTGTAAACTGCTCTGCAATTTGTTCAGCTGTCTCAGTTTCCCCATCTCACGTGACCTGACTTATTGGCCCCTCTCCACAGGAGTTGGGGTCGCTGCTGCTGTTGCCATGTTATTCTGGTCGTCATGCAGCACATGCTTGCTCCGTCCTGCTGAAGGCTCCGGAGCCCTGAGCCAGCCGCCTCCGTCACAAGAAGTTGCCAGTACATTGGCCACAAAGATGCACGTTTATCCCGCCTCAACCTCCTCGTCGTTCCTTCTCTTCCGTCGCCAGGGGCCTCAGCTCCTCTGGCTCGGCCCCCTTTCAAGGCCTGTGCCCTTGTTGGGCTCCCTGGGCTGTGGGCTCCCAAGATGCCTCCGGCCAGGGCTCACCTGGTGCCGGCGCTGACCGAACCACTGGAAAAGGTGGAAGAAGCAACCTGGGGACAGCAACGCTGCTCCAAACCCTGCTGTGGGCCTCAGGGATGTTGCTCCTTCTCTCTGGGCCTCAGTTTACTGCGTCAAATGGGGCAGTAATCATAGCTCCTCTCTGGGGAAGACTGTGATGGCTACACTCATCAGCATTTAGGGTACACCTGATTTTACCAGGAAGGAATGGGGGGATCTAAATGCCTTTCTTCACACGTGCGTTGTAAATGACCGTCCCAAGTGGCTGGCGTGGCGAAGCGTGACCGCATCCACGGAAGCGTAACAGTGTGTTCTGGGATCTAGCAGACAATCTCGGCGTCAGGAAATGCCATCATATTTCACCGGCTCTGAGAAAAATGAACACAATTCCACAGCCACATAGAGCTCGAGCGGAGTCTGTGAACAAGGAGTGGGTAAGGGAGGACGTGCCAGGAGAGCCAATACCAGCCCGTGTTTGGTGCAGCCCGATAACAGGAAGACAGACCCCAAATTAAACAAATATGAATGAATTTCTCTGCGTGTAGTCGCAGCAAATATATCAGTTGAAAATGGGTAGAGCAAGCGGCAAAATGTAATAAATCCAAATGAACTCCGGTGCCGAAGTGAAAACAAATATTTCACTGAGTAGCAGTACAAGTTGGGACACGGGAGGAATACAGAGAAAGGACTGTTTGGAAGAACCACACACGACGTAGTCACATGACTGTGGCAGAAAGGGTTCGGTAAGTGTCCCATTAAGGTCTGTCTCTTGCATGCTTCCTCTCAGGAGCTCCTGGCCCTGCTGACTGGTCCAACATGGGGCTGGGGGATGGGGGCGGGAGGGAGAGATGAGAGCCACATGACCAAGTCCACTGAGGCCCTCTCAGATCAGCCTGTCTCCTGAGCTGGAGGACAGGACCCAGCTCTTTGCCCTATGCCCTCAACTTACCCCCACTTGGCTGACCTCCTGGAGGACCCCCACTCAATCTCCCACTAGGATCTCTGGCCTTGGGGACTGTCCCTCCTTCAAAATGTGCCAGCAGCTATTCGCAGCCAAACTGGCTTCTTGATGTGTATGGAGCATCTGTGAAACTTAGTTGTTGTTGTTTTTTTCATATTTGTTGGCATCTTTCAGGCCAGCCTTATCTCCACGGGCACATGTACAGGTAGGGCACCTTCCCAAGGGACCTGGGGCACCGAGACACCCCTACCCCTCTGGCCTCAACCTGGAGGTGAGGGGATGGGCTCAGGGAAAACTGCGAGCCCTGCTCCTGTGTCCTCTCTCTGCAGCCCCAAACCATTCCGCTCGCCATCGCCTCCATGTCCTGGCCACGGGCGTCCTTGAAGCAAATGCCATAAACTGTGATCCTTGGCTTTTTCTTTTTCTTTCTTTCTTTTTTAAAAATCACAACAGCTTTATTGAGAGAGAATTCACATACCACCCAACTCACCCATTTCAAGGGTACAACTGTATGGGTTTTTTAAAAAATATATATTTTATTGATTTTTTACAGAGAGGAAGGGAGAGGGACAGAGTTAGAAACATCGATGAGAGAGAAACATCGATGAGAGAGAAACTTCGATCAGCTGCCTCCTGCACACCCCCCACCGGGGATGTGCCCACAACCAAGGTACATGCCCGTGACTGGAATCGAACCTGGGACCCCCCCAGTCCGCAGGCCGATGCTCTATCCACTGAGCCAAACCTGTCAGGGCTGTATGGTTGTGTTTTTTTTAAAAAATATTCACAAAGTTAAGCAAACATTACCACTATCCAGTTCCAAAACATTTCCATACCCATATTCCACACCCATTAGCAGTCACTCCCATTCCTCCAAGAAACCACTAATCTACTTTGTTTCTATTCTGGACACTTCCCAGAAATAAGACCATATAACATGTGGTCTTTTGTGTCTGGCTTCTTTCACTTAGCATAATGTTTTCTAGGTTCATCTGTGCTGTAGCTGGATGCATCCGTATTCTAGTCCTTTTTATTGCAGAATAATATTCCACTGTGAGTGCACTATACAGTTTGTTTCTCCATTCATCCATTGATGGACACTTGGGTTGGTTCTAACTTTTGGCTATTGTGAATAGAACTGCTATGAGAAAGGGTCACTTGCCACTATCCTCACAGTTGCTTGCCCCTGGGTTGAGGACTGGGGGATGGTAGCTGATCTGTTAAACATGGATATTGACTGACATGAACTCAATTTTATCAGCCTCTTCATCAAGCTGTTGCCTGGAGGCTGCAAGTGGTCAATAGTGCTGAACAGATCAGGGTGTCCAATTCACTAGTATGCATGGAGCACCTGGTGAACCAGGTGGGCGAGGTGGGGAGTGAGGCTGCCACCCACAGTCAGACCCAGCTGTGGGCTACTAAAATGTCTTCAGGAGCTACAGGAGGGGCCCAGGAGCGAGTGATGGGGAGGGGGCGCTATAGCGGGCAGTCAGGCAGGTCCCTCCCAGAAAGAAGGTGTTATTCCTGCGGCAGGCTCAGAATGTGATGTTGGAAGGAAGGGCATCCTAGGCCCAGAGTGGGAAGTCCTTAGGAGTGAAGGGAGGCCTGAGGGAGGTGGCAAACCAGGTGGCTTTGCTGCCAGCCCCAAGGGTGGCACTGAGGGCCTGCAGAGGAGGACGGGGAGGGGACTGAAACCAGGGAGACCACAGGGGTTCCAAGGGAGCCTGTAGGTTCCGGGCCGGCCATTGGGTGGGCGGTGGGACTGGGAAGACAGGAGCCATGGCTTCCCAAACGCCCCTTTACACCGCAGGAGAAGTGGACCGCCTTTCCAGACGCTCCGCAGGCCCGGCCTCAGCTGTGAGTCCGTGCGGCTCAACGACCAGGGCGGAGCCCAGGTGCGCAGGTGTGCCGCGGCGCTGGCTGGCGGCGCAGGATCCACCTGACCCGGGGCGACTTGGGAAACCCGAAAAGAAATCGCACACCTGGTAGCGGGCCAGAGGCACGGAGTCCACAGCGGGGAAGGTGGAGCTGGGGGTGGGTGGCCAGGGAGACAGGGTCCCGTTTGGGGGTGTGGCCACGGACTGAAAAGGCGGGGTTCAGGCGTGAGTGGGGCCGTCCCGTGCGCGGGACAGGATCCACCTGACCCGGGGCGACTTGGGAAACCCGAAAAGAAATCGCACACCTGGTAGCGGGCCAGAGGCACGGAGTCCACAGCGGGGAAGGTGGAGCTGGGGGTGGGTGGCCAGGGAGACAGGGTCCCGTTTGGGGGTGTGGCCACGGACTGAAAAGGCGGGGTTCAGGCGTGAGTGGGGCCGTCCCGTGCGCGGGATCTGCCACGGGACACACACCGTCCCGGGACGCTCGT